GGGCTTTTGTTTGTTGGAAGATTTTTTATCACAGTTTTGATTTCAGTACTTTGATTAGTCTGTTCTTATTTTCTATTTCTTCCTGGTTCAGTCTTGGAAGGTTGTATTTTTTTTTTTAATATGCCCATTTCTTTAAGGTTGTCATTTCTTCAAGATTGCCCATTTAATTGGCATATAGTTGCTCATAGTAGTCTCTTGAGATTCTTTGTATTTCTGCATTATCTATGTGACTTTTCTTTTTTCATTTCTAATTTTATTGATTTGAGTCTTCTCATTATTTTCTTGATGAGTCTGGTTAATGATTTGTCAACCTTTTTCTCCATTTTATTTATTAATTTTTCTGTATTCGGGTGCTGTGCTTAGTCATTCAATAGTGTCAAGCTCTTTGTGACCCTCTGAACTGGCTAGGCTCCTCTGTCCATGGAGATTTTCCAGGCAGGAATACTGGAGTGGGTTGCCATTTCCTCCTCCAGGGGATATTCCCAACTCAGGGATTGAACCCAGGTCTACCACTTTACAGGCAGATTCTTTACTGTCTGAGCCACCAGGAAAGACGGCATTGGGGTATAGCCTATTAGCAATGCTGTGGTAGTTTCAGCTGAACAGTGAGGGGACTCAGCCATAATATGCATGTATCTATTCTCCCCCAAACCTCCTCCTACCCAGGCTGACACATAATATTGAACATAATCCCACGTACTGTTGGTTATCCAATTTAAATATAGAAGTGTGTGCATGACCTTCACAAAATCCCTAACTATCCCTCCCCTCTCCAGTAATCATGTTATTTTTCTAAGTCTATGAGTCTCTTTCTATTTTGTAAGTAAGTTTATTTTATCATTTCTTTTGGAGTCCACATATAAGGGATGCCATCCAATATTTCTCCTTCTCTGTCTGACTTACTTCACTCATTATGACACTCTCTAGGTCCATCCATGGTGCTATAAATGGCACTATTTCATTCTTTTTAATTGCTGAGTAATATTCCATTGCACATGCATACCATATCTTCTTTACCCAGTCTTCTACTAGTGGACATTAGGTTGCTTACATGTCTTGGCTACTGTAAACAGTGTTGAAAAGAATTAGGATACATGTATCCTTTTGGATCAAGTTTTCTCCAGACACATGCCCAGGAGTGGAATTGCAGGATCATATGTTAGCTCTATTTTTAGTGTTTTAAGGAATATCCATAGTTTCTCCACAGTGGCTATACCAATTCACATTCCCTCCAACAGTGTAGGAGGGTTCCCTTCTCTCCACACTCTTTCCAGCATTTCCTATTTGTGGATTTTTTGATTATATCCTTTCTGACCAGTATGAAGTGACATTTCATGGTAGTTTTGATTTGCAATTATCTGTATTTTTTTTCTAGTTAATGATACTGTATTATATACTCAGAAAGTTGTGAATAGAGTTTGTCTATTAAGTATCAATATTGAATATCTTTTCATGGGCCTACTGGTCATCTGTCTGTACTCTTTGGAGAAATATCTATTCAGGTCTTCTGCCCATTTTTTGAGTGGGTTGATTGTTTTCACGCTATCAGCCATCATAAACTCTGCGAATTTTGGAGACTGATTTCTTATCACATCATTTGTAAATATTTTCTCCCAATCTATGGGTTGCTTTTTTGTTTTGTTTAATGTTTACTTTTCTGTGCAAAAGCTTTTTATCCTGCAACTGTACTAAACTCATTGAATAGTTATAACGATTTTCTGGTGGCATCTTTAGGGTTTTCTACATATAGTGTAGTGTCATCTGCAAAAAGTGAGAGTTTTATTTCATTTCCAATCTGGATTCCCTTTCTTTCTTTTTTTTTTTTTTCCATTGATTTCTCCGTAAAATCTGAATGAGATCCTTGCTGGGTTATTTCCTTTCATCATTTTTAGTATATCCTGCCACTCCCTTCTGGTCTGCAGAGTTTCAGATGAAGTATTTGCTATTAGCATTATGTGGATTCCTTTGAATATTATTTGTTGCTCTTCCCTTGCTGTTTTAAGATATTTTTTCCCCCTTTGTGTTCAATCTTTTTTTTTTTTTTTTAGTTTGATTAATATGTGTCTTGGTGTGTTTCTCTTTGGATTTATCCTCTATGGAACTCTCTAGGCTTCCTGGACTTGGGTGACTATTTCTTTTCCCATGTTAGGGAAGTTTTCAACTATAATCCTCTCAAATATATTGTTGTATCCTTTCTTTTTCTGTCCTTCTTCTGGGAACCTTATAATTCAAATGTTGGTGCTCTATGTTGTCCTCAAGGTCTCTGAGACTGTCCTCACTTTTTTTTTTTTTTTCATTATTTTTTCTTTATCCTGCTCTGCTTCAGTTATTTCCACCATTTGTCTTCCAACTCACTTATCCATTTTTCTGCCTCAGTTATTTGGCTAATGGTTCCCTTCAGTGCATTTTACTTATTTATTTATTTTTTTAATTTCAGTTATTGCATTCTCATTGTTGATTGTTCTTTAGTTCATCTAGTTATATGTTATACATTTCTTAAATCTTCTCAGTCTGTGCCTCCATTCTATTTATCTGCCTCTATCATATTTCCCAGATTTTGAATCATCTTTCCTATCATTATCTTGAAATTTTTTTCTGGTAGATTGTCTATTTCCTCTTCATTTGTTTGGTCTTTGGGCTTTCCACCATGCTCCTTCATCTGCTACATGTTTCTTTATCATTTCATTTTGCTTAATTTAGTGTTTTGGATCTCCTTTCCACATTCTGCAAAGTCATATTTCCTCTTATTTATGGAGTCTGCCTCCAGTGGATGGGGTTGAAAGTCTTATGAAGGTTTCCTGTCATAAGAGGGGAGAAGAGGTGCCTGGGTTCTGTTGCATGAAGCTAGATCTTATCTCTCTGAAAGTAGTGCTGGACCAGTGCTATGTTTTGAGGTATTTGTGATTTTGGTATGACTTTGTCTAACTGTCTGCTCTTGGATAAGTTTATGTTCCTGTTCTGCTATGTGTTCGGTGTGAATCTACCACTGGAGTCTGCTGGCCTTTGGGTGGGGCCAGATCTTAGTGTTGAGGTGGAGATCTTTGGGAGAGCTCTCACTGATTAATTGTCCATGGAGTTAGGAGATCTCTGGTGGTCCAAAGCCCTCTCACTTCAGAGGTTCAGGCCTGCCCCCTTTGTGGAACCCCAGGATTCCACAAGCCACATAACACAGAAGAGAAATAAAGAAATAGAAAAAAGAAAAAGAAAAATTACATTCAAACAAACAAGAAAAGAATGAAAAGACAAAACCCCAGGATATACGTTAAAATCAAATCTAAACAAACAAGAACATATTAGGAAGTTCACACACTCACACTTGTGAAGAAATGAAGAGAAAGAGAGGAAAGAAAAAAAAAGTATAAAAGAAGAATCAAAACAGAAGAGAGCAATCAAACCAATAAAGAAACCCATAAATGAAAACAAACGCTAAAAACTAGGCTAGAAAAATTAGAAAACCAAAAACATGTGGAAAATGCAATATAATGACAAACATTGTGTAAATAGGGGGAAAATGAAATACATTATGTAATAATAGAAGACTAAGATCATGGCATCTGGTCCCATCACCTTCTGGGAAATAGATGGGGAGACAGTGGAAACAGTGTCAGACTTTATTTTGGGGGGCTCCAAAATCACTGCAGATGGTGATTGCAGCCTTGAAATTAAAAGACACTTACTCTTTGGAAGGAAAGCTATGACCAACCTAGATAGCATATTAAAAAGCAAAGACATTACTTTGCCAACAAAGGTCCATCTGGTCAAGGCTATAGCTTTTCCACTGGTCATGTATGGATGTGAGATTTGGACTGTGAAGAAAGCTGAGCACCGAAAAATCAATGCTTTTGAACTCTGGTGCTGGAGAAGACTCTTGAGAGCCCCTTGAACTGCAAGGAGATCCAACCAGTCCATCCTAAAGGAAATCAGTCCTGGGTGTTCTTTGGAAGGACTGATGCTGCAGCTGAAACTCCAATGCTTTGGCTATCTCATGCGAAGAGTTGACTCATTGGAAAAGACCCTGATGCTGGGAGGGATTGGGGGCAGGAGGAGAAGGGGACAACAGAGGATGAGATGGCTGNCTGTGGCCAAGAAGTGGAGAATATGTCTATTTCTATACGGACTGATGCTAAAGTTGAAACTCCAAGACTTTGGCCACCTCATGAGAAGAGTTGACTCATTGGAAAAGACCCTGATGCTGGGAGGGATTGGGGGCAGGAGGAGAAGGGGACAACAGAGGATGAGATGGCTGGATGGCATCGCCGGCTCGATGGACATCAGTTTGATTAAACTCCGGGAGTTTTTGATGGACAGGGAGGCCTGGCATGCTGTGATTCAAAGGGTCAGACACGACTGAGTGACTGAACTAAACTAATAATAGAAGCATAAGACAGGAAACATAAGTAAAAATATGTAAAGAAAAATTTTAAAAAGAACAATAATAGACAAAACCTAAAAGACAAGAGACAAAAATATGTGTATATTGAGAGTGGTAGTATTGCAGAAAGGGGGACCCCTTCTAGGGCCCAAAACTGGACTCTTGTCTAACACTTGGAAATGAATTATCTGAGGAGACATATGTGCTGACAAAGCAAGGGATTTTATTGGGAAACAGCACCTGGGTGGAAAACAGTAGGGTAAGGGAACCCAGAAGAACAACTCTGTCACATGGCTTGCAATCTTGGGTTTTATGGTGATGGGATTAGTTTCCAGGTGGTCCTTAGCCAATCATTTGACTCAGAGTCCTTCTGGGTGGTGCAGCCTTGTTCAGCCAAGATGGATGCCAGAGAGAAGGATTCTGGGAGGTGGGCGGACAGGTGGTGTCTCCTTTTGATCTTTCCTGAACTCTTCTGGTTGGTAGAGGCTTATTAGTTCCATGTTCCTTAGCAGGACCTCCTGTCATAAAACAACTCATGCAAATGGTTACTATGGTGCCTGGCCAGGGTGGGCCGTTTCAATCAGCAACAAATGACGACTCTGGCGGGAATTCTTCTTCATTGCGACTGACATCCTGACCACTCGGGGTACTCAGGGGCCAGCTTGCCTGCCAATGGACCAGATCCAGCAGCCACAACTGGGACCCTTTTGTCTCTGATCTCCTCCTGACGTGAACAACTGACCAGAGTGCCCCAATTGGTAAGGAACAAGAGACTTTATTGACCTCTCTCCCCTTCCCTCTCTCTTTCCTCTCCTTAACCCTTCCTATCCTTCCCCGTTTTTCTAGTCTCCTGGTCCTGGATGCAGGAATCTGGTCGAAGAGCCTCAGCCTGAACTAAGGATTGGAGACTGATCACCTCCTCTTGGCAGAGAACTCGAATTCTGGTTCTGTTTTGGTCTGGTTTCTGGTAGGGCCGAGTCCCAGTCCTCCCTTCTCTGGAGGCCCAGGGTAAAGTCCCGTAATGCCTGGGTATCTGCAGGTGGCAGGAGATGTCTGTAAGGCCGCCCCTTTTGTCCCCCTCTCCTGCCTCTTCCCTCTTCTTCTTTCAACCTGGCTTCCTTTCCTCCCTTTGAAATCTTCGAAGACCTGAGATATTTTCCTTTACTTTGTTAGTACTTGGATCTGAAGTTCTGTGTCTCTATAGGAGGTTTTCTGAGAGACAGTATTCATGTATTTAAGGGAGTGTCTGATGAGGACTGCCAGGTTTATATGTGTGTTTTAACTCTGTGTTCTGTGTTGTGATTTTTGATGGCCATTTTGCTTTGTCTGGCCACCATTTGGTTTAGACCTGCCACCATTTTGTTAGAACTTGATTTTCTTTCCATGTGCCTTGAAACCAGGGCTCTCAGGAACACTTATCTAGACCATCTCTAACTTGTGAGATTGAGGAAAAATGGGAGAAAGCCTTTAAAAATGTTATTTATTCCAACTGTTTTTTTTATAAACTAATAAATTTTATGTTGTAATATCTCATTCATGATTAAACTTAGAAAATGAAGCTAGATCTTGTGTTGTGTCTGTCTAAATATGTCTTGATATGTCTTTGTCTCTGGATAATATTTTTGAGGTTAGTTTGTAAATAAACTCTATTTAATTGGTTTAAAGAAAGGTAAGCACTTACAAATCCAATAATTCTAAATTAAACAATAAATTCCAGGTTCATGTGAACTGGTAAATATTCAGTATTAAATACCTGATATTGTTTGTTTGTTGACCTATCTAATATAGACATATCTTACAGTAATTAACATTAAGTATAATGTTTTCATTGTACCTAAATTTAATATGTTAAATATTATAATATCTGTTACAAGTTTGTCAACAAAGAAATTACCTCGAGTGAAGAAACTTCTAAAAAAAAATGTAAATGAGATATGAGATTTTAGATAAGCTCTATTAAAAATAATTATGCTTTAGGAATATCTGCCTGAAATAGTCTCTCCAGATTGGGGTAACTTGAATTTCTAAGGGTTGTGCTAAACTAAGTGTTGGACGTTTATTGAATAGTTAGGTAATTTCCAAATAAAATAAGATTTTGGAACATCTACTACTAAACACAGATTTCCTTTTACAGAAAAACTAAAGAGATTTGGTACTATAAATTAATAATATTTGGTGCCATCCTAAAATGTTTCAAGAAAGCAAGGGTTTTAGAAATTATTACTGGTTTTTATGCCCACCAATCTATTAAATGCTACTCTAAAAGTTAGTTCTTGGTTGCTAAAGGAAGGTAGGAACAGTGTTTTCAGTTAAAAAAAAAAAGCATGAAAAAATACCAAAAAGAGTTATACATGATCAGGATTTTTAAAAAATTGGGTTACATTCAGTTAGATAAATGGATTTTGTTAGGAATGACACAGCCATAGGAAAACTGGTTAGAGACAAAACTGGTTAGGTCTAAGATGGCAGAGTCGACTTTCACTAGACCTTGAGCCTCAGTATATATGCCCATCATGACCTATCAACAAGCTAAATGATACACCCATCAACATTGTCTAAATCTGACCAAAAGTTCTAAACCCTTTTAATTGATGGTTTTGGACAAAAACTTAAATTGAATTCTTCTGAAGTTCCTTTGACCTCTAGCTAACTTTGGGGTGTTTCAAAGGGCCCCTGAAACATCCCAAAGAAAGATATTAAACTGTGCTTATTTGGTTGGTTAAATTACATGAAAAGTATTATCAAATGAGTAATAAATCCTCTCATGCTATAATGTCTGGTAAATAAAACTAATATAGATATCCTAGAAATTATATGGAGCTCTTAACATTCTGATATGTCTTGGTATTCTAATGAAAAACCTGATGACTTCACAAAAATTAACAAAGGACTGAATGAACCAGCGAATATGCTTATAACTTTTATAGTTTCTCTCTGAAAAATTACAGGTTTGAATCTTGTGTTTTCTGGGAGTAGGAAAAACGTTCCTCTCAAACTAATCGTGGCAATAATTTAGTAAAATTATATGTTATAAACCAAACAATTATATTTTCTCTCTATCTGACTCCTCCAGAAATGAGAAACTCTTAGGTTTCCAGTAAGTTTATCAAATGAATTAGAAAGGTTATCTCACTAACAGGTACAAAATCTCAAGGTATCTTTGAGACCTTAAAAAAGGGAAGAATTCACCTAGATTTGTTAGGTGAAATTTGTGATAAGCCTTTGGTGTGAGTTTCTCAGCCTTGTTTTATTTTAGAAGTTCAGTCTGAGACTCTATAAACGTTTCAGCAAAGTAAAAAGTCTATGAATAATTATGGTTATATAAATCATCAGGCCAAAATTAGTGAGACCAGACCTACTTTGCAAACAAACTAGCCTTAATTTGGTTATATTTGATAAAATTAAGAGTAATTTTAGGGAGAAAAAGATGTTTCAATAAATGTTAAATCCCAGTTTATTAATAAAGGTCTGCATCTAGTAAGGCTCATTTCTTAGATAGTCTTTTGCTGTTATATGATATTAATGTAAAATGTAATTGAATTCTTAAAGAACACCCTAAGTTTGTTTCTGAAGCTTATCTCAATAATCTATCTTTGGATGAAGATAAAATGCCTCATGACCTGCAACCAGGACTGGAAAAAGACGTAATTTAAGGGACTGTCTCCAACCTGGATGGAAGGATTTTTTGTCAGGTACTCTTAACTAGTTCATGCACAATGAAACGGAAGGGAAATTAACTCTTAGATTAATTCCCACTTCTAATGTCCCCTACGCTGGATTGATCTATAGAGAAGACAGCTGACCTGATCTCACCTTAAAATGATGCTCAAACAGAGGAGAAACTACACTACACCAGGATGAGAAGATGAGGACATCAGAGCTAGACAGCATGCCCAAGATGCTGGACCTGATTCATATGATCATTTATAATGTTTTCTTGACTTCCTAGACACTGTATATAAATCAAATGCTTTTCTATCATAGGCCTGATCCCATGCTAGTTTTAGAAATAAATCCAATTGTTGGGTTTGTGGCCAATTATATGTGTCTAGTCCTGGGTTACCTTGGTAAATTTCTCTACTACAAAGCTCTAACTGATTGGCCCTGAGAAAATTTACTTTAAAAAATTATGGTCATATTCATGTCACTATTGATATTATTGAATTTTATTGATATTACTGAATATTATTGTTGCTGAATAACGCAAAGATGCGGAGGTTCTTGGCCTACAGAGGAGAAGAATTCAATCTGGGGCCAGAGACGAGGCTGGATCGCTCAGAACTTTTGTGTATTAAAGTTTTATTAAAATATAAAGAAAAGAGAAAGCTTCTGACATAGACATCAGAAGGGGGTAGAAAAAGTACGCCCTTGCTAGTCTTAGCACTGGAATTATATACTCTCAATTAGTTATTCAGTTCAGTTCAGTGGCTCAGTCGTGTCTGACTCTTTGTGACCCCATGAATCACTGCACGCCAGGCCTCCCTGTCCATCACAAACTCCCGGAGTTTAATCAAACTCATACCCATCAAGTCGGTGATGCATTCCAGCCATCTTATCTGCTGTCGTCCCTTTCTCCTCCTGCACCCAATCCCTCCCAGTAGCAGGGTCTTTTCCAATGAGTCAACTCTTCACATGAGATGGCCAAAGTATTGGAGTTTCAGCTTCAGCATCAGTCCTTCCAGCGAACACCCACGATTTATCTGCTTCAGGATGGACTGGTTGGATGTCCTTGCACTCCAAGGGACTCTCAAGAGTCTTCTCCAACACCACAGTTCAAAAGCATCAATTTTTTGGCACTCAGCTTTCTTAACAGTCCAAATCTCACATCCATACACGGCCACTGGAAAAACCATAGCCTTGACCAGACGGGCCTTTGTTGGCAAAGTAATGTCTCTGCTTTTTAATATGCTATCTGGGTTGGTCATAAATTTCCTTTCAAAGAGTAAGTGTCTTTTAATTTCACGGCTGCAGTCACCATCTGCAGTGATTTTGGAGCCCCCCAAAATTTAAGTCTGACACTGTTTCCACTGTCTCCCCATCTATTTCCCATAAGGTGATGGGACCAGATGCCATGATCTTTGTTTTCTGAATGTTGAGCTTTAAGCCAACTTTTTCACTCTCCTCTTTCACTTTCATCAAGAGGCTTTTAGTCCCTCTTCACTTTCTGCCATAAGGGTGGTGTCATCTGCATATCTGAGGTTATTGATATTTCTCCTGGCAATCTTGATTCCAGCTTGTGCCTCTTCCAGCCCAGTGTTTCTCATGATGTACTCTGCATAGCTCAGTTGGTACAGAATAAATCAGGATACATTATTGTTATATTATCCTAAGGAATGTAGAGGGGGGAAAAAAGTTTGCCCTTTCTTCATCCTTGAGAATTCCAAACCCGTCTCTCCATGGGGACCCCTAGACTTCTTATCAACCTGCCTAGGAATTGACTCTCTCATTCCCCCCTTTTCTTTTAGGAGAATTATGCTGCCAAGGAAAAGGGGTGTCGTTTTCATTCCATAACTACTTCCTGCTGTTTAGGGGCATGGTCCCTAAATTGTTAAGGCAACATATTCTCATAACCATCATATTGAGGGTCTCTGACCCAGGGGCCCCACGTAATAATAGTTGGAGGAAGCTGTGGCACTCATAGGACCTTGGACAACCATTTGTAACTTAAAAGGCTTCACGCGACTAGAAACAAATCCAGTCACACAGTTACAGATGCAGGGAGCAAACAGCAAAAATAGAACAATCAGAATTATTGTAA